GCCAGGACTGTAAGATGATGATTTATACCTGTAAAAGTGATTTATTTGGTTTACTTTAAAACACATATGTGATTATTATTGGTCTTTTGTATGGTTAAGGGGAGAGATCTTTTAGGTTTCATTTCTGAGAAAAAAACTTAGCTAAAATGCAAAATAGACCTATTTGTTTAAGCTTAAAATATCTAGTTTATTATTACTGGCACTCTTGAGTGATTAATTACTAGACTGATTGTTGAATATTTTTTATAATTTGGTTATTGTTTAGGGATGAGAAAGGGGATGAAGAGGGCTTTTTTTCAGTAATATTAGAGAAGGTATTAAATTACTGTTAATACATATACTTGTCTGGAGGGAGGGGGAAGCCATCTTTTATATTTCTTTCTTTTCTTTTCTTTTCTTTTTTTCTTTTCTTTTCTTTCTTTTTGTTTGTAGGTTTTTTAGTTTTGTATTAGTTTTTATACACACACGCACACATACACATGCTTTAGTATTAAAAAAAAGAAATAGTCATCAATCCAGAGTGTTAGGAGAAGGCAGGTTGCATTTACTTCAAGTCTTACGCTACCCCAAATTTTGTTTCCCTTTTTGTATGCTACAGTTTTGGTGATTGCTGAAATACAGAATCCTGCATGTTGTTTCCACTTCTGAGAGGATTTCCACATGTTGTTTCTCCTCTGGGAGAACACTCATAGTTAAAATTCTACATATGAAATTATCTTTCAGCCATGCAGAATTTGTGTCAGCAGCAAGTATGTAACCATGTTGCCTTGAGAATAAACAATCAGGCAAGGGCTAAATTGTAAGCCTCATTAATACCCTATAGAAGAAAGGAATACATCAATTTATATACTTCATTTTTTTTTAGAGTGGCAAACTTGTTACGAAAATGTTTCAGAAGATTCAAGAATTAATTGATGACAAAGATGTCCTTGTATTTGTACTTATTGATGAGGTATGACTACAGTACTACTTCAATATTAAAAATTGTTTGCACTAGAGAAAGTGTTTATAGTATCTTACCAGTATGCTGATTACATCCATTCTATGTCTTTTTTCTATCAAAATCCAAGCTGGGCTGCATGAAGCAAAGAAACCAGATTTTAATTCAAACAGGAGTTATTAGTAATTCAAAACCGATCTGTGCTGGATGGGTAACATTTACTTTAAATCCTCAGGTTAGAGTCCGAATATACTCATGATTCAGCCCTGAGTTTGTTTGCAGATTTAAATATATATACACCTATTCATAAAGACGTTAGATCAGATCCATAGTTACTTGCATAATATATTTTTATTCTGAGTTCTAATTTATTTATATTTATTTATAACTCAGATTTATAAGCCACCTAACTCAGAATGACTTTTGGCAGCATGCCAAAATCAATTCAATTTAGGCACTTCAGACTGACTTTGGGCGGTTCACCATAAAATAAGACAAAAAACACAAAGATAAAAAAGAAAACAAGATGTCAGCTTGGTCAACAACACCCATGCATACAAATATATGCAACTGCCCCCCCCCCCCCTCCACCTCAGCCCAAGCCCTGGGAGAAGAGCCAGGTCTTTAAGGCTTTCTGGAAAGCCAGCAGGATGAGCCACATGGATCTCTGGGGGAACCTCATTCCAGAGGGGAGCCATACTGATCATACTAAACCCCAAACCAATGGACCCAGCAATTTTATGTAGATGCAAAACAGGAGGGGAGAAAACATTAAGTCCTGTGGCACCCCACAAAGGAGGGGCCTAGGGAGCAAACTCCCACAGTGAACACTGAGTGAAACTGGTCCAAAAGGAAGAGGAACATAATAAAACAATGCTGCCAATCCAGAAGGATATTGTGATGTATCAAAAGCCAGCAAGAGATCAAGGAGCACAAGAATTGATGCACTAGCTCCATCCTAGTTCTGCCACAGGTCATCTACAAGTGTGACCAAGAAAGTCTTCATACTAATCCTGGCCTGACTGAAACTGGCCTAAATACAATACCATTTAAAAAAACACAACAAAAACAAGGAAACATAATTGGAGTCAGTGCTTAATAACATTATATAAAGGTACATACTCCAACCCCAATACCTAGGAAAAGAGCCAGGTCTTTAACACCCCCATGAAGAATATCGGGGCTGGGGCAACTCAAATGTGGGGTGGGGGGATACTCCAGAGGACAGTCACCATGACAGAAAGCATGTCACCTAGATCCCATTGCATGGCATTATTTTAAAGATGGGGCCTGGAGCATGCCCACTCTTTCTGATCTTACTAGATAGGCACAAACAATAGAAGAGAAGCAGTTGCTTAGATAGCCAATCTCTATGAAGTGCTTTCTAGGTCACAACCAGCATCTTAAATTACACCCAGAAACTTATTGGTTGCAAGCGCAGCTCATGTAACAGAGGTGTCACATGGGCATACTGTCTGTATTGCTACATTCTGTATCACCTGCAGTTCCTGAGTGGTCATCAAGGGCAGCCCCACGTAGAGCGTTATAGCAGATAACTAAAGCATTGTTGATAGTGAGAAAGGACTGGGCAACAGTTTCCCTAGTAGCAGCTACTATCTGTTCTTTGAGCAACAGGAGGACCCCCAAATTGCACAACAGTTCTTTCTGGGGGATTGCTACTGTATTCAGAACTAAAGATGGAAAGTTCATGTTACATGTTAGGGAGAACTAAGCAGCCACTCAGTCTTGTCAGGGGTTAAGTTTATTATTACTATTGCTATTAGATTTTTATCCCGCCTTTTTTATCTTTAACTGAACATACCTAATACTCCTGCCTTCTGTTTTCCCACAACAACAACCCTGTGAGGTGGATTGGGCTGAAAGAGAGTGACTGGCCCAAAGTCACCTAGCCAGCTTTCATGCCTAAGGGAGGACTAGAACTCTAGGCCAGCACCTTAACCATTACACCAAACTGTTCTTCCCCAACCTAACCAGTAGTAGTATGTGGCTTAGGGTTTGAACTGTGATTCTTTATATATAGTATAGTAGATTGCCATACCAGTCTTGGTTAGGGCGTGGTATCTTCTTTGATAATTTCTTATTTAGGGCATTGTTTCTTCCTTGATTATTTATGTGGTGCTATTTCCTGCTTATCTGGGTGTTGGTTGCTAGGGAAGATATGCTCTGGGCTGTTTGTTTCCTTCCTTGCATATTGGTTATGTCTTCAATATATAAATTATGTTTATCTCTGTGTGTCTGTTGGTGGCTGATTGGTCTGAATGCCAAGCTGTCAGGAATTCTGTAGCTTTTTTGGATTTGGCTTGATCTAAAATGTCAGCAGTTACCCAGTTGAAATTGTGGGTGAATTTTCTACATGTTGAGAAATTAGGGAATTTTGATCATGTCTTCTGATTGCCTGTTGATGTTCATGGATGCCAATCTTCTACTGTCTGTTGTAAATGATAGCTGTTAACAGTCTTACATTGTATGTTGTAGATGATGTCTGTTTTTCCTTCTTTGTTTACTGGGTCTTTGGGCTTGCTTAAGATGTTTTCAAAGGATTTTGTTGGCTTGTATGCTATAGTGATCCTAAGAGGTAGTAGTCTGTTAGTTGTCCCAAGGAATTAATTAAGGAACTATCAAGGAAGAAAACACACCCCAACCAAGACTGGCAGGGCAAGCTGCTATATATAAAGAACTATAAACTTTATTTTCCCATGCACTGATAAAGTTCCCCAGACTGGTAATAAAATGGTTGCAGGAAAACAACTAAGCTCAGAAAACACCAAGAGCCCAACAGACCTTAACAGCCTCCAGTCACTGAGACTGGATAATTGACCACTCAGTTCTGCTAATGGTCATTAACAAGTGCAAACAATGCTGTTTTCATATTACAAAAACAACAAATTAAAATTATTTGGTATGCTAAATACTTTAAAGGAGGGGGGAAATCACGACATTCACATTAGGGAGGTGTCTAAAATAAATAATTTAGGTATGTTGGCCACCTTGAGTTATTTATAAAAATAATACAGACAGGATTTTAAAAAAAAATCTTTAAAATTAAATAAATAAATAATAGTAGGCCCTTCCTGAATATTAGAGAAAGAACATTCCAGAAGGAAGGCATTATTGCTCCTGTCTTATTACAGCCCATTTTGATTACTTTAGTATGTTATATAGAGCTCCCTTTGAAAATTTTAGGTCCAAAATGTTGTAGCAAAACTCATTGGGGGTAATTATTTGGTGTGTGTTAGGTCTGTGCTTTAGGGGAGAGATCTTTGGGAGAAACAAAGATGCAGGCAAGTTGCTGAGAAACATCTCAAGAAAGGAGAGAGACTAAAACAGCAACATGGATGAATTAGTGCTTAAGCCTCTGTGTAACGTTCGGAGTCTGGTATATCCTAGAAAGACAGTAGTAACTTTTATTGCAGAAATCCATTTGTTGCCAAGGTATAGGTTCACCAGTTCAGCTAGAATTCTTTGTAAGAATTTTAACCTTTACTTTATGAGAGCTATGTCTGCTTGATTATTTCTTGTAACTTTTGTAACTAAGGGTTATTGTTGTTGAACAATGAAAACTCACTTCTTATATTTTATATAT